CTGAAAAAGGCCAAGAAAAACTCAGGCTCCACAACCAGCAGCAACAGAGCCAGGCCAGGCCCCTTGGTTCCAAGTGCCAAGCCAGACCCTCCGGTCACACAGATGTTCCCCGTGACCCCCCTCAGTGGCCCCATGAAGTAAAACCAAGGAGGGTGGCAGGAAAGTGCACTGCCCACCCCCAGGGACACTGCCCACATGAGTGTCTCCCTGCCAAGCATATGTACAATGACTCACCTGCCTCGCAAAAAATCCAGACTCACTCAGGGTAACACAGAGATCCTGCCTTTAGACGAGGAGAGAAGTGGGGAGGTGGGGAAGGCAGAGACTCTCAGGACCCACCAGGCACCAGTGCTGAAGCAGGTGCTTTACGTCACGATGTACATTTGTCACAGGCTGAATTGTGTCCCCTGCTCCCCGGCTCCCCAGGAAGGTGATTTTATTTGGAATAGGATCTTTGCGGATGCCATTAATATGTGGGTTCAGATGAGGTCATGTCAGAGAGAAGTGGGCTCTATACCCCAGGCTGGTAACCTCACAAGAGCAGAAGGAAACGCCGGGAAAGGCCAGTGACAGCAAAGGCAAAGACTGGAGGCTGCCACAGACCCAGAAGCTGGGAAGAGGCAGGGCAGGAGTCTCCCCCTTGGGGTTCAGGGAGGGCATGGCACTCCCCACAATGTGATCTCAGCATTCTGGTCTGCAGAATAGTGAGACGACACACCCCTGCTGTATAAGCCACCAAGCTTGGGGCCCTGGCTGCGGCAGCCCTCAGCAGACTCACATGATTCTGTCTGCTCTCCCAGCCCTGCCTGGACAGAAGCCACGTTTTGTTCCCCTTTGTACCTCAGCAGGTGGTGTCATCCTCGCCCGTAGGAGGTGTCGAGAGAGTATTTGTTGAGTGAACAAGTGGCAGAATTAAGTGTAAACTCAGTAGGAGGAGGAACTAGGTCTTTTATCTCGAAGAGACCAGAGCAAATTAGGGACTCAAGAGATGTTCCTACAGTGCATCAACTTCTTCAAACGAATGCAGACAAACGTGGGAAGGCTTTGCAGGGAGCCTTATTTACGTTTCCTCGGATTAAGCGTCCGCCATGGCACGCAGTAACTGCTTACTAAATTTAGAAGGCGGGAAGGAGTAAGACTGGGCTCACAGGCCCCCAGTTCTCAATCTAGGAAGAATCTGGGGGCATCCCACTGGTTGCGAGGGGCGGATGTCCTGAAACAACCAGCTGACTTTTCAGCTGCCTGTAGGGTTCTCACAGTGGAACTTGAATCTTGTTTTTTGGAAAAGCGTTTATTTTTCTTTTACATCCAGAAATCACAAGGCTTCCCCACCCTGCCAACAATGTCAGAAATGCAGCTTTAGTTGAGAGGTCAGCGCGTCGGAGTCCGGCTCTCAGGCCACGTTTCCTGTCCATGCGCGACCTTCATTCCTGGCCCTGCCCCGCGGCCACAGAGGAGCCTCTGCAGGGCTCAGGAACTCACTGTGCACCCACAGCTGCGCTACGCGGCAGGAAGCGCCTTGACCTCCAGGCTTGGTTTAGGGAGAGCTCAAGCTGAGGTCAGTTCATTACCGCATGTGGAAAAAAAACCCAAAAGTAAGGCCAACCGATTTCCACTTCTGTCCCCTGCTGTTGTGCGGGTGGTGTTGGGACGAACAAAAGAAACAGCTTGCTCTTATTCCCCTGGACTTGAGCTCGAGGGATGACGGCTGTGTTGCTGGCTGCGGTGCTATTCACTCATGCGTCGTCTTGATAACCAACGTAAGCAAAGGAGCCGGCACTCGGGTCTTGAGAGAGGTGCAAGGTCCCTGCTCCCCTTCTGCCAGGTGTGAGCCAGCAGCAGTCTGACAAGACAGGGAAGAGTGACCCCTTCCTAGTGCTGGGGACAGAGGGCGCCACTTTCTGTCTGGGGACAGCTTACGTGGTCAGCTCACACGCTCAGGGCAGCACCCCTGCTCCCAGCGAGGAGTCCTGGAGGCGTGGGCCTGCAGTCCCTTGGGGGGTTAGCCCCACTCGGCTCCTGGGCCCCCCGGTGTCCTGCACAGAGCCTGTCCAGCTGGTCATCAGCCTGTCTGTGCTGCTATTTACCTCCTCCTCTTCCTCTGGATGCAAAGCGCAAGGACCCGTTGTGTCTGCTGCCCACACCTGTGCCCCAGGCTGATTCTGGCAGGTGAGTAATACTTCTCGTTTGGTAATCATATGACTGTGCCATCAAACAAATAAAGAAAAACAAAAGGTGTCGGGCCTTATGTGACTGCAAGACAGTGAGACCTCCAGGGTCGGGCAGGTGTCGCGGTCACCCACGCTGTCCACCGCTGGCTCACAGGGTGCTTCCCGACTGTCTGCGTTATACCTGGACCATTCAAGCTTCTGTGCCCTCGCGCCCAGCACCCAGATCAGCGCAGAAGCCCACCTCATGCTCCCGCCCAGTCAGTGATCCCCCAGTCAGACTAAACAAACACCCTCCTGCCGGCTGCATGATGGCTGACGAGTTACCCATCCCTGCAAAGGGACTTGGGACAGCAAAAGCTGTAGCTGTACAATAACAGCACAGCAGTAGTAGCAAAGTAAAGTGATCATGGGTTGAGCAGTAGAAGTAGCCCTAGGCCTGACGAAACAAATAGCCGCAGGAACAGCAGAAGCAGCGGCTGTCGCCGTCACAGGTGCAGGAGCAGAGGTCAAGGAGTAATGATGACAATGTAAGTCACCGTCATCACAGCACAACTCGTAGCTACCGTAAGAGGAGCAGCAGCAACCGGAACAGCTAACGCCGATACAGCACTTACTGTGACCCAGCAATTTACCTCCATTTAGCTAAGGCTCAACAGAATGCTCAAAGGACGTTTAAGAGAGGATTCACAGATGACGGCGCCGAGGCAGAGGGTTCAGTAGCGTCCGCAGGGTCCCGTGCTGTGGAGTCATGCACCCGGCATCTAGCACTCAGCCACCCGCAGCCCGGCTGCAGGGCCCGGCTCTTAGTAACAGCCTTTCAACGCCTATTAGCATGGCAAAGAAAGACTTGCTCCCCAATATCTGTTCTCTTCTCTAGTAACAATTCTCAGTTTGGGGAAGCATATGTCCTGCAGAATAGATTACATTTCCCAGCCTTTCTTGCTGCTAAGTGTAAGAGAACTAAATTCTGGCCAACTGAATATAAACAGTAGCAGCAGGAGCGATACCCAGGGCGCATCATTACAGAGAGGGGTCTGCCTTTCCTCTTCCCGCGCCTTCTCCTGTGAGTAGATGTGATGGCTGGCGCACAAGCAGCGGGAGCAAACCATGAGGAAACCTTGGGAAACCCGTGGCAGAGAAGGAAGAGGGAAGCCTGGCGTCACCAAGCTGGAACAGCCCTGCCACCACTTGTGAGTCTGAACTTTCAGGTAAGGGAAAGTTCTACCTCCGTAAAGCCAGTGTCCTTTCCAGATTTTTTTTTTAAAGATTTATTTATTTATTCATACAGAACTGGGGTACAGGCCAGAGGCTCAGGGGTGGCGAGAGGCTTCACAAGAGACAGAGTGGGGTGCAGAACAGGCAGATCGACGAAGTACACTGCTGAGGGGAGCAGCGGGCGGGTCAGGAGAGGTCTGCCACGCCATGTGGTCTCCTCCGGGGGCAGGCGGGAATCGTACTCATGCGGAAGCGGCTTAAGCTTCTTTGTGCAGTGCTTTAACCCGCTGTGCCACCAGGGAGGGCCGTCCTTTCCAGATTTTATGTCATTCATTTTATGTCAAAAGCTAAATAATGCACGGAGACTTGCACTTATAATGAACGTGAAAAGACATCTGCAGAACGAATGTTATCTTTGTGTTGAACTCTTGACTTAAAATACAGAACGAAGTAAGTGACCCCCCATCCACTGAGAACAACTTTGTTTATTTAATCATACCTAAAAATTCTTTTCATCCTTTAATTTGGAATAATTACAATGTTCTATGTGTCTACTTAACATCAGACATTTAATTTTACTGTGTTTTTTTCTAACCCGCACCAAACATCATTACCTCTTTCACAGGTAAGAAAACAGAAGAAACAGAGATGGTGAGCGATTTGCCTTAGGTCACACAGCAGTGGTGGCAGCGCCAGATTCCACACCCTCCAGCTCCCTAGAGCACTCCTGCACACCAAGCATACAAACACCTGGCACAGCAGCTCACCCTGTGTCTAGTCGCCCTGAATTCCTGACCGGGTGTTTTCTGTCCAATTCTTGGGGTTCTTGCTGGCCAGTGAAATCTTTTATCATCCTCTGGCACAAACTTCCACCCATTGAGGCTCCCAACAGGCCTCAGAATTCGCAGGCCCAAATGTGGCATCTGGATCTTGACCTCATGGCAGCATGGCATCGAGGAGGAAAGCCGGCAACTAGAAGTTGACCCAGGGCCAGCTGGGCAAGCTCTTTGCCTGTAAGCGGAATGTTGCCATTCCTACCCGTTACACTTCACCCCTTGCTCCCCTCGCCTGCCCAACCTTCGCTTCGGGATAAAGGATAGAAATAATGTGATTGAAAAGTTTAAAGCAGAAGAGAAAAGCACTTATGGAAAGTCTACAGTTCAGGCCCTCCCTGGTGGTGCAGCGGATTACAGCACAGAACTCCGAAGCTAGCCATAGCTTCTTCAGCACAAGTTCGATTCCCGTCCAAGGAGTGACCCACATGGCCCACAGATCTCTCCTGACCCACCTGCTGCTCCCCTCGGCAGTGTACTTTGTCCTTCTGCCTGTCCTGCTCCCCACTCTGTCTGTGGGGAATCCTCTCACCCCCCACACTTCTGGCCCATACCTCAGTTCCTCTACGCATAAATAATTTTTTTTTTTTAAGAGAAAAGTCTACAGACTGACGAAAGCCAGAGATCCGCTCTCCACACGCACTTGCACCACTGGTGTTTCCAGCAGGCTCAAGGGCTTCAGTTTGATCAATTTTTGTATTTCAACAACCCCCCCCAAAAAAAAACCCCTTCCACTTTTCCACTCTGGGTTCTGTGGATGGGCTCGGCTAAGAACACTCACCGATTCCATAGTGAATCTCTCGACGAAAAACTGGAGAGCCTGGAGGCTGAAGATCTCATGTCTCAGCCGTCACATCAGAAAATTACCTGGATGGGGGGAGGGAGAAAAGGTGACAAGAGTCATCCAGGGGACTGAGCAGAAGATCCAGCCTGACACCCACACGCGACTTCCCATGCAGGCAGCACCATCGGAAGGTTCTTACAGCAGAGAGGCTGTCCGGGAGTATGAAGGAAATCTGGCTGGGAAGCATATTTCTGGGCTCTACTTTGAGGCTGAGCTTGCCATCGCAAAGCTGTGCAGGGCTCAGGAATCCTCCTTGCATTCTATTTCTAGCTCTACGTTGGAGAGCAATTTACAAGTCATTAACTTCTCTAGACCCAGGCTCTTAAACATGAAGTTAAAGTATGCTGACAGGTGCAACAGACAGACAGATAGACAGACACTTGCACAATGTGCACCCACGGGAAAGCAGAGGTGTTCCCCAAAAGGGAACCAGCCCAGGAAAGAGGAAGATGCATATGAATATACTTGTTTCAGGACAACCCCTCTGAACCCGAGAAGACTTTAATGAATTCATGCATACCAAGGCTTAATTAATTGCCAAGTGCACAGAACACGGAAGTCTGGCATTAAGGATGTCACATAAGGAGACAGCTTCAATATTTGCAGAACGGAAGGGGTGTCGAGGTGGAGGGCAAGAACAAGATGAGCCACAGTTCGGACCGGTCCTTCTTCACTGAACCCTCACCCAGAACAGCAGCTGCACGTGCAGTCGGAGAACAGGACGCCTTTAACCCACCTTTCTGGGTGGTGCCATGCCCAATCCATCCTGAGCTGTGTCCCCTTCACCCCGCGCCTCTCCCCATCTCTCTCCCTTCTCCACAGAGGCACCAGTGGACCAAGCCTCCACCATCCTCACCCAGACTGGAGCAGCAGGCCCCTAACTGGTCTCCCTCGCCAACATTCATTTGAAACCCGATTCCCTCCCACGCCCACTGAAGCCTGAATAGTTTTTTTCCACCTTTTATCAAGGGGCGTTTTACAGCCATAATAGAGAGGAGCATCACGAACTCCAAGTGCCCGCCGCCCAGGCCCCCTGAAGTCGCAGCAGCCGGCCTCACACACCCCCTTCCTGCTCCACGTTATTTCAAGCCATAAAAGGGCCTTGTAGAGGCTCAGAGACAGCAGCCCAGCCCCGCCCCTGTCCCACTTCCCCCTGGAGTCCCGGTGACAGACTGCCGGGCAGTCGCAAGGCCCTGGCCCACGCACAAACGCCCCGAGTTCCTACCCAGCTTTACGCCTACACAGAGCCTCGCCGCACCCTCTGCTGGGGCCCCCTTGGCGCTCGGGTCCCATGCTTGTGACATGAAGCCATTAATCGTGTGCGTGAAAGAGCAGCGTGAGCTATCAGAGTCAGTCCCCCCCCCCCAACCCCAAGCCCCTGGGCGAGGGGTGCCCTGGACAGCTGACTCACCTCCCTGGGTATTCTTTGTGACTAATCTTTTATTCAAACAGAGGTGCTTTCTCTCCAGTTATGAAAACCACTGCAGTCCACCATGAAAAATATGAACACATAAAACCAAAATCTTTTATTATCCCAATACCTAGGTATAAATACTGGATGAAACAAATAATGCATTGCATGATTTTCTTAGAACCAGGGAACTACCAATAATTCTGAAAATTTCTGTTTTGCCTTCATCCATTCAGCAAATATTTGTCGTGCCCACCCTGTGGGCACAGCCAAGGGCTGTTTTTGTCACCTGGAGAGCGCCAGAATTAGAGAACACTCATGATCTCAGGGAACCAACATTCACTCTCTTATTAGTTCAGCAAACATGGGGTGTCTATTTACAATATGCTGGATCACTACTACTGTTACAGGGCAGGGTGAGGGGCACCCCCGAACCTGCCCATTCTAAGGAGTTTCTTTCATCTGCCCCATCAAGACAAAACAGACGTGTGCGAAAGCACTTTCATGGAAAGGAGCAGCTAAGTGTGATGCCAACAAACACCTTTGCCAGTTGGGTCTGGACCTCAAGACTCGGATTTAGGGTTCAAAGCTGGCCCTTTAACGCAAACACCGGGTTTGAACTTAGATACGGCTCCTCGGAATAATGCGTCTCCACACATTGCAGTCTCCCCCTCTTTAAGGTGGGAGGGTGACACAAACACTGTGAGAAGACAATGCAAAGCCTGGAGCCCCACGTTTGAAGAATGAGGGCCCTGGGCCCTCCCTGGTGGCACGACAGGTTAAAGCGCAGCACTGTGAAGCTGTCCCCAGACACTGCAGCGCAAGTTCGATCCCTAGGCAGGGAGCTGACCCGCCCGCTGCTCCCCCCAGCAGTGTATTTCAGTAGAGCTGCCTGTTCTGCTCCCCACTCTGTCTCTGGTGAAATCTCTCACCCCCACATCTGGTCTGTACCCCAGTTCTTGTATGTGTAAATAAATAAATCTTTAAAAAAAAAAATGAGGTGGAGTGAGTTTACTGCCTCATTTAATCCTGACAACCATCCTATAAGAAGTCGACACTCAAAGTTTGAGGAACTTTTCTGAGGGCAAGCAGGTTACCTGTGAAGTTCCTATGGGGGGCTCGCAAGGCAATGTGGAGAGCACGCCTCGGCATTGCCCTGGCAGGGTAAGATCTGGGCATCAATGCACCAACTGCCATGCACGCCGGGGGTGTCCCAGGCCACTGTCTGCAGTGCCTTCCAGGGCGCTCGAAGTCACAGTGTCTGGAAAGTAGGTGCTCAGTAAGTAGAGCTAAGCAGCGTGAGTGAGCGCGCCCTATCACACCCCCTCTTTCTCTCTGCTGCCAGCGAGGGAAGATTTAAAGCAACTAAACTGCTACAGAACCAACCAGAATTCATGACCATCAAGTACCACATTTTATATCCACCCACAGTTCCGCTTTCTGTTGCAGTTGTACTCTGTGACTTACACTATGTCCGTTGGAAAGGTAATTCCAGGGACATAAAGCATGTGGCATGCAAACACTTCTTCACTGCTAACCCCAGATAGGTGTTGAGGTTTAGTCAACAGAAGTGACTTCACGGAAGATGGGCTGTGTATCCTTTCATAGAGGATGTTACGAACGCTTGAGTCATCTGCAGCTGGCTAGGGCCTGGACAATTTCTTTCTTTCCCATAACATCATGGCAAACACTTCCTATGTACTGATGTGATCCTTTCGTCTTCTGTGGCAGCTGGGCTTAGAAAGAAGCTCAAACAAGTATTTGTGCCAATCTTCCTTTTATCTGTCCAGCTCACGGAGTCCCAGTTGAAATTCCTCATCTGTCCAGCTCACGGAGTCCCAGTTGAAATTCCTCATCTTCCAGCAACTTTCTGCCAATGTTCCTAGCCCAGCAACCTATGCATTCCAGAACGACAGCAGTAGCAGCGGACTCTGATTAGCACTTTCTAGGTAAAAACCCCACCCCAGGCATAGTCATGACCTCATTCAGTCCTCACCACAACCCTGAAAGGAACTGACTGACTGAACTTTACAAATCAGGCAACTGAGGTTCATACAAGGCACGTGACAGCCGCTCACATGGCTGGCTAGTCAGTGGTGATAGATTGGTGATGCAGACTCGGAGTGGTCTGACAGCAACGCTCAGGGCTTTGCCTTTGTGCTAGGCAGGGCAGTCTGGTCCGTGAGCAGCTTCATCCTGCTCTGTGTTACCTTCTGATTGTTTCTACAGGTGAGCCACAGTTCCCCTCTGGTGGCCATTCTCTAGTGGTGAATGCCAAGGCTTTGATTTGTTTGTGGGGTTTTGAGAATGGTTAAAAGGTCTCTTGGTTTCCGTAGAAGGCAACACGACCTGCATCCCCGCCTGGTCCAAGGAGTCCAAATTATGCACCAGGGCCCATGGGCTGTTTCACATAATCTGTCTCCCCACTGCCCACAAGCCCGTGGTTGGGATGGACCACGCCTACCAACTCCATCCGTCCAGGGCACAAGGTAGGGGGAGGGAACAGAACAGGCAGACAAGACCGTGGAGAAGCTGAAGCCAAGAAAAAAAGCACATGTTTTCCCAAAACACCAAAAACAAGCATTGAAGAAGATGTGGTGAACAGAGAATCCTAATACGCTGCTGGTGGGAATATAAATACTGGTTTATGGAAAGCAGTAAAGAATTTCCTTAAAACATTACAAGTAGAATTTCCACACGATCCAGCTATGCCACTTCTGAATATTTTCCCATAAAAAACAAAACACTAATTTGAGGAGACCTATGGCCCCCCCCCAACATTTATTTAGGTACTCTTTGCAATAGCTAAACAATGGGGAAAGTCTCAGTGTCCATCAGCTGACAGATGGATAAAAAAGATGTGCAAATCTACACAGTGGAGTGGCACTCAGCTATAAAAAAAGATGAACCCCTGCCCTTTGCAACAACATAGATGGGCCCAAAGGGAATTATGCGGAGGAAAATAAGCCAAATGGAGAAAGACAAACACCGTGTGGTTTCACTCACATGTGATGTGTAGAAAAACAAACAGATGAAACAAATAAAATAAAAACTAACTTAAGACCATGAGACCAATTAGTGGTAACCAGAAGAGAAGGAAGGATGATGGCAGGGCAAGAACAGAATTGGACTTTGAGTCGTGAGCTGAGTGGAATACAGACGCTCGTTGATTCTCAACTGTGAGCACGTGAAACTTACCGCAGTGCTAAAACATAACATTACTTTCACTAAAAAAAAGGAAAATAAGAAAGGTCAAGCAAGGTCAAGGTGCCACACTACCAAGGCCAAGCACAATGGACATCAGCCTGGGTCCAGCCCACCAGAGGAGAGGTGGGGGCCTCTCCTCTGCAAAGGAAAGGCCCTCTCTCTGCGGATCGTGAAGGACCACCATCCAAAGGCTCAGAACCACTCTCTTGTGGGCTTATTGGTTCACGATGCCCATGGATGCGGTTTCCATCCCAGGACCCTGCACGCTAGGCCACACAGAGAGAGGTGAAGTGGACACGGTGACCTCACAGTCGGGCGGGGTGGAGGAGTGGTCCAGAAACAGCAGACAGGATGAACTCTCAGAAATGACCAGCCCTGGGTGTGACACAGTCACAGTCACTCAGTAAGTGCCTACCGCAG